TCACTATGTGGTTAAAGTTTTTAAAATTTTAATAACTTTCTTAAACTATCTTGGGTTTGTACCAAACTTGGACAGAATCTTGTTTATGATCATAAGATAGTATCTAGAAGTAAATTTTGTAAAAAAATAAATCCAATTTTTCCTTATTTTACTTTTAAATGGACTTAGATTTTCTGCTGGGAAACAACACATTCACTCTGTGGTTAAAGTTTTTAAAATTTTAATAACTTTCTTATACTATTTTGGATTTGTACCAAACTTGGACAGAAGCTTGTTTATGATTAAAAGCTAGTATCTAGAAGGAAATTTTGTAAAAAAATAAATCAATTTTTTCTGTATTTTACTTTAAAATGGACTTAGATTTTCTGCCAGGAAACAACATATTCACCCTGTGGTTAAAGTTTTTAAAATTTTAATAACTTTCTTATACTATTTTGGATTTGTACCAAACTTGGACAGAAGCTTGTTTATGATCAAATGCTAGTATCTAGAAGGACATTTCGTTTTTTTCCAGTTAACATTACATTCAGTCTACAGTTAAAGTTTTTAAACATTTATAAGATTCATAAACTATCCTGGATTTTTACCAAACTTGGGCAGAAGCTTCTTACAATCAAAAGATAGTATCAAGAGGAATATTTTTATTGATTTACTTCCTCATTTTTGTTGAGCCTGCGATTAACAGAAAAAGTAGGCGAGACACTGGGTTCTGCGGAACCCTTACGAATTTTTTGAATGAGTATGTACGAAAAAAATCCAAATTCGATATAACATGGGCCGAACAGAAATTAAAACAAGAATATGTGTACATACATGTAGGTTACCATGTCCCACTCGCACGTTTTTACTTGTATATGATCAGTGAGCTGTGAAATATTTTGTAAAACCCCTATTTTGCCTTTATAATAAACAATTTACTTTAGATATGTTCAAAAATAAAGGCGAAAGATACCAAAGGGACATTCAAACACATAAGTCGACAATTAACTGACAACGTCATGACAAAAAACGAAAAAAGACCAAATTAAACACAAACAACAGTATTTAAAACACAACATAGACAACTAAAGACTGAGCAACACGCACCCCACCAAAACCGTGGGTGATCTCAGGTTTTCCTACATGTAAGTTTCGAAACATATTTACTAAGTTTCAAGTTGAGATCACTACAAACTACCATAAACCAAAACTTTAATCTGTTATAATATATTATATTTATGTTCCTGCAGTTAACCGTGAAATATGGATCAAAGCCGTAATTTGGCATACATAGTAAACAGCTTACTTCATAGTGAACGTAAACATAGTTTCAAGTTCATGTGCCCACACACTACCCTTAACATACACTTTAACCTTCCTTATAAACCAAAACTAATACCGGATACTGGATAGACTGATGCACAGGTCAGACAACATAATTCTCTTTTCTGTCTTAGGCGGGCATTAAAATGAAAAGAAATTAAGTGCTTGACGGAAATTTATGAACAAAGTATGCTTAAGTAATTGAAAAATCTCTCTACATATCAATGTACATGTAAATTTTTATTACACTTATCCAATAAAATGATGACAATCTGTCCGAAATTAAAAAGGTTCTTTCATTCAATTTTTATACGACAGCAAAATTTTAATGTTATGACGTTGTCAGCGTCGTCGTCGTCCTCGCCCGAAGACATTTGGTTTCCAGACTTTAGTATAATTGTATGGATTTCTATGAAATTGTACCACACGGTTCCATACCTCTAAGGGAAGGTTGGGATTGAATTCTGGGGTTATGGCCTAAACCGTTTATGAATTCTAAAATAAGGGCCTCGGTGAATCTTGCTGAATCTAACCGTGTATATAGATTTTGGAATTTGGGCCCCGTTTTTAAATTGGTCCACATTGAGGTCCAAAGTTTCCAAAATTACACTTTGTTTGATTTCATCAAAAATTGAATTAGCTGGGATCTTTGATATGCCGAGTCTAACCATGTATTTAGGTTTTAAACGTTAGGGCCCGTTTTAAAGTTGGTCCACATTAAGGTCCAACATAAAACTTTGTTTGATTTCAACAAAAAATGAATTCTTGGGGTTCTTTTATATGCCGAATCTGACCCTCTACTTAGATTTTTTGATTTTTTGCCCGGTTTTCAATTTAGTTTACATTGAGGTCCAAGGGTCCAAAATTAAACTTTGTTTGATTTTGACAAAAAATTGAATTAAAGGGGTTATTGACCGTTCTTTGGTATGCTGAATCTAAACATGTATTTAGATTTTTGATTTTTGGGCCCAGTTTTCAAGTTGGTCCAAATATATAGAGGTCCAAAATTAAATTTTGTTTGATTATAATAAATTATACACAAAAAAATGAATATATGGGGTTCTTTGATATTCTGAATCTAACCTTGTATTAAGATTTAGGATTTTGGGCCCGTTATTAAATTGGTCCACATTGAGGTTCAAAGGGTCAAAAATTAAATTTAGTTTGATTTCATCAAAAATTGGATTATTGGGGTTCTTTGATATGCTGAATCTAACCATGAATTTAGATTTTGGATATCGGATCATAATAGGTAAATGTTTAATTTCAAATTTTTAAGTACTTCGACCACATTCATTCTGTGTCAGAAACCTATGATATGTCAAATATTCAATCACAATCCAAATTCAGAGCTGTATTGCTGACTTTGTGTGCTTTGTACGAACAATTGTGTTGAAACTGAAAAACACTTCCTTTTAAATTGTTCTCTTTATGATGACTTGAGATGGCTTTTATTTTCTGAATGTTCAAATTATATTGAAAATTTTGCTATTTTAGACGATGATCAGAAATTAGTTGAAATGATGAATTGTCCTGAAATTCAAGCATTTTTAAGCAAGAGTATTTTTAACTTTTTTATGAGACGAAAGTTATTTTTAGTTTGAGATACTAATTTTTATAGTTTTAGTAACCTTTAAATTTTACTACTTTTAAAGTCATGTGATATTTAAATGAAATAAATAATAATTTTTATCTATATAATTTATAATTTAATTTATTAAATGAATTTTTAATTGAATTTGTAATTATTTAAATGATAAATCTTTTTGAAATTGTACAAAAAACAAATTTTAGGAAATGTTATATTTACATATATTTAAATGTGAAATGTTTTGTAGATATGTGTCTCATAAGCCAATCTTATGGCTGGGTACTGATTGTTTTAATGTATATTTTTATTATGTCATTGTATAATGTTCAATCAGTATGTGACACAATAATAAAATAAAAAAAATATTATTATTATTATTATTGCATAATAAATAGAAATTGTAAGTAAATTCATAGTTAAAAATACTAGATTCATCATCCAATTCTAATTTTAGAGAAGAAATTATAAATAAATATTGTTTCAAATTTACTGTTCATTATTAGATATTTTGAAAAAAAATAAATGTAAGTTTAACAGATTTTTTAAAGACATTGTATTAATGATGAATGACATTTTGGAAAATGTTTTTTTTTGTTCATTTTTTTTTGTAAATTTTTTGAAGAATTTCGGGGTAGGTTTTTTTGTTATCCGGTATAAATTCATTTAATGCTATATATATATTTCTTTTTTGATGAAGCGAACATCTTTAAAAACTAAGCTGCTATTGTCCATTAACTTGATTTATAGATAAATTAATTAAATTCCTGGTGTACTTAATTAAATTTTCCCGCGTTTCAAAGAATAGCGGGGAACATTTGTATTAACGATGCGTATGCATTTTCTAATTTAGTTACGTGAACATTTTCTCCTTCACTTTCTACCCAACAGTCGTAGTATCAAGTTTATTTTCTAGCTGTCTGGGTTAACGGCAATATGAATATATTATTTTGTTTTATTTAAGCCTATGTATTTATTGGAAAGAATTTAAGGTAATACTTAAATTTTCCCGCGTTTCAAAGAATAGCGGGAAACATTTGTATTAACGATGCGTATGCATTTCTAATTTAGTCACGAGAAAATTTTCATGTGCGGGAAAATATTTTGAAATCCTTCACTTTCTACCCAACAGTCGTAGTATCAAGTTTATTTTTACATATTTCAGATATGTAACATTTTTTAGTTTTAATCCATATTTTTGCACATTATCAGTTGTGTTTTGTTTCGAATAATTATAAATATATACATATTTTTTTATACCGTCCAAGTATACATCTTGAACATTCTCAATTTTATCTGGTCTTCCGAACATTGGGTTTTGGACACAGGTTTCCAACTTTTTTCCACTACATATTTAGTTTTTAATGTAGTTTGACTGAGTTAACTCGTTTTAGTTTGTTGTTCCCTGGCCGGCGGGATCGTCGATGATAGAAACTTTGTCATTATTTGGTATTTAACTTTAAAATACAGCATACCAGCATTCAGTCATCATTTATAATTGTAATGATTTATTTTTTGTATTCATGCTTATGAGTTATATTCGTGAATTTATTAAAATCCGGTGTCCTTCAAGCTGTCTGGGTAATCGGCAATATGAATATTTTGTTTTGTTTTATTTAAGCCTATGTATTTGTGGGGAAAAAGTTAAGGTAATACATATGCTGAATCTACCGTGTAATTAGATTTTGGATATTGGAATATAATATGTAAAAGTCCTATTTCAAAATTTTCAGTTCTTTGACCACATTTATTCTGTGTCAGAAATCTATAATGTGTCAAATATTTAATCACAATTCAAATTCAGAGCTGTATCAAACTTGAATTTAGTGTCCATACTAGCCCCAACTGTTCAGGTTCGACCTCTGCGGTCGAATCGAGCTGCGCCTAGCGGAGCATATTATTTATTTGCAACTTGTTGTTCAATTCTCGTCACTATGTTGAATGGAATAAAGTTGTTTTTGTGTTAATTTTTTGTAGTGGTTTTTAATATCAGACATACAATGATAACAATATCTCAACCCAATTCTTCAGTAGAAATAAATTTCTACAGGATAATATAAAATAATTAACAATAGCTCTCAAAATAATACATAATAATTTCTTTTTTCAGTTTTTTGGGAAGTTAAATTAGACTATGGAAGAAATGTTACACTTATTTGTAAAACAAATACGAAAGATTTATGTACAAAGTGCAGAAAAGTATGGTATGGAGGCCCTGAATTTTCATTACTATCGCTAGATGGTTTTCCGTCAGAATATTCTTCAAAGTATTGGCCTTTCTTAGGAAAGAACGGATTTGAAATAATAATAAGAAATTTCAGTACGGAAGATTTGAATCAAGACTACATATGTTCAATTGGTGAATACTCTTGCAAAAGAAACCTGACTATCAACATGTTTGACAAGCAAGCATTAGACAGGGATGTACCAGGAGGTAATGTTACTGGATTTTATTATTTTAATTATAATGTTATGGTTGATAAACGATACTTTTGTTTCTTGTATATCGACATTTCAATAACATTTTTTAGTACTAAACAAGAGACAACAGCATGAGAATTGTGTTCAAGCCAAAGGATGCCATTGGGTAGGGGATGGTTAACTGTGGCATTTTAGTCATTTTAACTGAATTAATTAGAAATTCATCAATGTAAGTCCCTTTTTCCATATAGTTTCTCACAATCTTAGGTAGTTATGCATTCTTGGCTTTCAAATATTTGGGTTTGAGCATTCATGGGAAGGAAAATCGAGAAAAGCACCTCAGACGCACCAAATTTATGCAGTGTTCTTTCCGTTCAATGAAAATTCAAAAGGTGTTAATAAGTCCAAATATCTCAGGTTAAGATTCTTCGTGTTTGCTTTTATTCTAATTTGCTAAAATATTCCACGATTGGTTCATTTAGGGTAAACAGTTTACTATTGCTGGTATATAATATATGAATTTGAGTTTTCTTAAAGGTTCATGATTAAACTACTAGTATGGGAAAGGACACTCTCATGATAGACTCATCTGTTCCCTTCTGAAAAAGGCATTTATTCTATATATGACGTTATGTTTACCGTTTGCTTTAGACTCCCAACTATGTAATGTAATTAAAAGCGCTTAATAAATTTGATGAGTCCGAATCACCTTTGGATGTTCCTTTATTATGAACGTAAAAAAAATGTTAAAGCCGAGGATTTATAAGTACCTTTACAAGTGCAGAACTTTATAACAAAATAATTCTATGATTGGAAATTTACCTTGCAAATGTTTTACAACCTGTTACCGTCCCCACACATGTTTTACAACCTGTTACCGTCCCCACAAATGTTTTACAACCTGTCGCCCTCCCCGCAAATGTTTTACAACCTGTTACCGACCCCACACATGTTTTACAACCTGTTAACGTCCCCACACATGTTTTACAACCTGTTACCGTCCCCACAAATGTTTTACAACATGTTACCGTCCCCGCAAATGTTTTACAACCTGTTACCGTCCCCACACATGCTTACAATTTGTTACCGTCTCCACACATGCTTACAATTTGTTACCGTCCCCACAAATGTTGTACAACCTGTTACCGCCCCCAAAAATGTTTTACAACCTGTTACTGTCCCCACAAATGTTTTACAACCTGTTACCGTCCCCACACATGTTTTACAACCTGTTACCGTCCCCACAAATGTTTTACAACCTGTTACCGTCCCCACAAATGTTTTACAACCTGTTATCGTCCCCACAAATGTTTTACAACCTGTTACCGACCCCACACATGTTTTACAACCTGTTACCGTCCCCACACATGTTTTACAACCTGTTAACGTCCCCACACATGTTTTACAACCTGTTACCGTCCCCACAAATGTTTTACAACCTGTTACCGTCCCCGCAAATGTTTACAACCTGTTACCGTCCCCACACATGCTTACAATTTGTTACCGTTCCCACACATGCTTACAATTTGTTACCGTCCCCACAAATGTTGTACAACCTGTTACCGCCCCCAAAAATGTTTTACAACCTGTTACTGTCCCCACAAATGTTTTACAACCTGTTACCGTCCCCACACATGTTTTACAACCTGTTACTGTCCCCACAAACTGTTACCGTCCCCACAAATGTTTTACAACCTGTTACCGTCCCCACAAATGTTTTACAACCTGTTATCGTCCCCACAAATGTTTAACAACCTGTTACTGTCCCCACAAATGTTTTACAACCTGTTACCGTCCCCACACATGTTTTACAACCTGTTACTGTCCCCACAACCTGTTACCGTCCCCACAAATGTTTTACAACCTGTTACCGTCCCCACAAATGTTTTACAACCTGTTATCGTCCCCACAAATGTTTAACAACCTGTTACCGTCCCCGCAAATGTTTTACAACTTGTTATCGTTCCCACACATGTTTTACAACTTGTTATCGTTCCCACACATGTTTTACAACCTGTTATCGTCCCCACAAATGATTAACAACCTGTTACTGTCCCCACAAATGTTATACAACCTGTTACCGTCCCCACAAATGTTTTAATGGACAATATTTAAAGCAATTATATACAGAGATATCAGATGACCTAAGCAGACTCATTGTCACTGACTCTTTTAAAGTGTACGTGTGTCACTATTAGACTAGTAAATATACTTGAGCTACTGCACTAGAGTGGTCAATGTAACTTTATTTTTTTATCTATTGTATTTTGTGATTTTACTTTTTTTAATGTCTTATAAAAATAAGGAGATGATTTATGATTGACAATGAGACACTTATCCACCAGAGTTATATTGAAGTGAACGAAAGAAACGAATTATAGGCACACGTACGGCCTACATCAATGAGAAAAACCCACTCCAGATAGTCTGCTATAAAAGGCCCCGACATAAAAAATGCGAAATGATTCAAACGAGAAAACTAACGGCCTAATTTATAACAAAACAAGTTACGAAAAACAAATATAACAGACATGAACCAACAATAACAACTGAACTACAGACTCCCGGCTTGGAACAAACACATAAAGAATATGGCGAGGTTAAATACGTTTGTGAGCGCTCAAACCTCCCCATTCCTTGGACAGTGGTGTAACAGTACAACATAAGAACAAACTATAAAAAACAGTAACAATTGGCTTAAAAAAAATCGGTACAAGGCACAATAAACAACTAACACATAAACAATAAACGCATGACCTTGTGCAATGACAAAATATAAGTAAACAGCATCGACAAGGATATAGTATAATGAGTTCTCATAACTGTAAATATATAGCAATATATTAATATTTAGTATGTTTTAATTTTTCAAAAAGAAAATCAATGTTAGTAGTTCCAATGAAATCAACATTTTACTACTTTGTTAATTTGATAACATGCATGTAATAATAAGTTTATTCAAACGATCAATTAGTTTACATGGATCGTATCTAAATTTACGGGCTTTGTAAATAACATCACCGTAAAAAGTAGGTTGTAATATCCCGTTTTTGATAAGAACTATACAGACACAGCCAAATTTCCTAACATAATCTTTGCATCTATGAGATAATTTGGTAAAGGTTTTAATTAATTTGTGGTGACGAAATCCCTGACTTAAGGATGTACTTAAGTGAGGTTTAGGAATTTGTGTCAGATATTCGGACTTCTTAGTTTGTTTTCCTACAATACAGGGTAAAATAGTTTGCCCCATAACACCCATTTTTCTTCTCATATAAGACTTCAATAGCTCATAAAAGGTCATTCACCAAAAATTTAAGCAGATTCTAAATTTCTTTTCTTTCGATTTGAGACCCAAATAATACCAATGCAAATATAAGGTAAAAGTCCGAATCAGCCTTTTCCGACCATTTTTTAAAATCAAATATCTCGAAAATGAGCTACATAACCTATCAACATTTTTTAGCTTATTTTGTTTCTTAACTAATGCTCTTCCGACTTATAGTATAAATTTTAAATTCTAGATTTTTTAAATTTAAGTACATCTTTAATAATTAATCAGTATTAATACACAAATTACGTTCATTGAAATCTAAAACGCGACTACAGACATGGGCATAGCGATCTTGTTATGAAATATACACACAGTAAACTTGGGCCAGAGGAACATCGCCGTCTAAAAAGGGAAAATTACCGTTTTATGTCTATCATAGTCCCGAAAGACTTTAATTAAATTTTCATGTCGGGTCATTTGTTTATAAATGTAAGATTATTTACATGTACATGTAAAATTGTGATCATTGCTAGAAAAATCATACACAATGTATCTACTAATCGACTACTGTTTACTAGTACTACCTTATTATTTGTTAGAGGTGTAGCACTACGGGTGTCACTCGTATAACAAAAATTGCATCTGATTAGTGATTTCCTCCGGTTTGTAATTGGGTTCATGCTGCTCAATCTTTAAGAAAATTTTTAGTTTTTCGACGCTATCAATCAAATTTTTTTTCTTCAAAATTTAACACTAAAAGGTATGGGGAAAAATCTGGATTCAGAATATTTTTTTTGGTCATCTGCTTGACCACAATATTTTTTTTCATCAAATTGGGGATCATAATTTTTTTTTTGGAAAAAACCATAACCCCCCTTGAATTAAATGGTCGTTCCCTTATGTAGTGTTTTATAGACATGATGTTGTCGGTTTCTCTTCGACTTATCGACTCTTTATTTCAGACCACATACAATCCTTCCTCTATTTTTGTTGTGGTTCGTGTTGATCAATATGGTTTGTAATGTTTTATCGCTGTTCTTTTAACTTTGTTTTTTTCGTTAGGTCTTGGTGTTATCTTTCTTTTTCAACTTATTTCTTTTATTACCCCCGCTTTTGTATTCTCATTAACTAAGGCAGTTTTAGGAGGATTATCATTGCCTCACAGACATATTGGCAAGATGAAGAATTAATTAGGTTTTTATGTCAGTCTGTTTTATTGCCTATATACCGGACAGAACTGAGAATGGAAACGTTGAATTTTTCAAAGAGACAACAACCTGACCAAAGAGCAGACAACAGCTCAAGGCCACCAATTGGTCTTCAACGCAGCGAGAAAATCCCGTTCCCGGAGGCGGGCTTCAGCTGGCCCCTAAACACTATTGTATACACAATTAAAATGATGTATACATAAATATTTTGTAATTGGTTGCTGCATTTAATATGTACATCGGAAAAAAATACCCTTATATGTAAATATAATCAGTTGGGGCTTCTTTTTTTCCAACTCTGAACAACATATTAATATCCTCAAAGTTTATTATATACTGTTCAAAGGGAAATAATCCTTACATATCAATTGATTGTCTACCAGATTAACTTTTCTCTCATGTGCATGCACTTACTACCCATTGTTCTATTATGTTGTATTTTGTTATTTAACTGTCATAAAAAATAATCATTGTAATCAATGTAAGAAACTTAAAACCCGCAAGGGTCCATAATTGGTAAAATAAAGAATT